GTTTAAAAAGAGGTCGTGTTACACTTTCACAACTATCTTCCACCAGGAAGACTCGAAGCCAATCACTAGCAACAGCATTACAAGAAAACCCCCTTCCAACCATGACCCAAAACGAAACCTCTAGTGAAACTTAAATAATAAAATTTATTTTCTTATTCTTTTTTAAAAATATATATATATATATATTTTTAACCATATAATTGCTGAGCATAAAAAAGTTAATAATAAACAAAAAAGGTATCGGAGATTGCATTAAACTTATTTTCCTTTATTAAATATATAAAATTTTTCACATTAATTTTTAATTTATTGTATTTTTTTTTTAAATAATAAATAAAATTAAAATAATACATCAAATGAAACAATTTATTTTTCTTCATTATTCTAATGATGATTTACAACATTTATGATAATCTCGTATAAACAAATGCATTCTTACATTTCTAAAATTTATAATCTTTAATTATTTTAATATTAAAAAATAATATGCTCCGATCCCTGATTATTGATCCTGTGATGCTATTAATTAATACGCTCGAATTTGTCCCCGTCAGTCCCATGTTCTGTGGTGGGTACTGAAACAAAAAAAATACTGGCTAGTTTATAATATTAAAATTCAAAGTTAATGATCTCCGCATCCAGTGATTCGATGGTTATGATCTTTACACGGTTAGATTCAGCTCATCAAGAGGATTCCAATGATATGTATTTCATATCTGTAGCATCAATATTGACGGAGTTATTCACGTTTAAAACTTTATATTAAATTATAATTATAAAAATCACATGACTATGATGTAATTTCGACTATTTTGACTTTAATTTCGACTTTTGACCTTCTCAAGTCAAAATATTTCTACTTTTGGGCTTTAATTTCAACTTCATATATAATCTTAATATCTACCCTATCGTAAGCTTTAGAGAGGTCCTGAAAAGTCAACCATAACTCTTTATTATTCTTCTTTGCATCTTCGATACAAGTATTAATGATTCTTAGAGGCGCCTCTGTAGATCCACCAGATAGTCCCGTGTGATTACCTCCTTTTAATATATTACGCTCTGCAATAACTTTAGATAATCTTTTTGTAACAATTTTCACTAACATTTTTCTCAAAGTTTCTAGGAGTATTATTGGTCTAGTTTTTGTTAATGAGTACTTCCAATCCATTGTCTTCAGGATAGGATACAATAACGCATGTCTCCATTCTTCAGGAATATCACCAACTTGTAAACATAAATTTGCTAATTTTAATGTGATACTTTTCATTGAAGTTCCCATATGTTTGAGCATTTCATTCGATATCTAGGAGATTCCTGGCGCGTTATCATTTACTAACTTTCTAATCATATGGTCCCATTCACTCTCACTAATAGGTTGAATAACCTCGTTATACCAACATTAATTTATATCTTGTTTAGGGCTATATTGACGAATCCATCTTCCTTTTAACTTTTCATTTGAATTCAACTTTTTTCCTGCAAATGATTTGAAATGTTCAATCAACTCATTTTCTATCAATTCCTCATCTGAAATTAATTGTTTTACTGAATTTTTTTCTATTACTATTTTATCCAGGACAATTTTACTTCTTTTTCTATTCAACGTAGAATCTAGGAACCTTTTTTTATTATCTTGTAGATCCTCACACTGTCATTGGATATAAAACTTCATTTTCTCTTCTTTATATATTTTACTTTCTTCAGCAAAATTCACCTGAACTAATTTAAAGGCTATCTTGACTATTTCTTTAAACTCTTTTATATTTTTATTGAGCAGTCCATCTATGTCTATTGCAAATTTAAAACATATTTCTGATATTGTTTCATAATGCTTTTCTATAAATTTTTTACACTTTCTATAATTAGTTAAGTTCAAACTCATGATCTTTTTTTCCGTTAAATTTGTTAAAATATATGATAATTTATGTAAAAATCTCTTATAAAACACGATAGTTTTTGGTAACACTTATTTGTTCGGGTTACCTTTCTTTTTCGGCAATTCATTATTAGCTTTTTTAAACGTATTTCGAATTGTATTCCATATTCTATTTATATTATTGATCGAAATTTCTACATTATCAATTATATCTTTTTCTTTATCCAATAACTTTCCTATTTTTTCTGCATATGTTTCCCATAATTGACTATCTATTTTCTTATAATCCACTTTCAAATTATTATTGTTATGTTTTTTCTTTTTAAATAATTGTTTTGTATGAAACAGGTCATCTATTTGGAAATATACCGTTACGGCTGAATGATCGGTTTCAAATATGTGGACTTTATTCGTAGACGCATAGATAGTATCTAGTACTAAATTTTCTGTGACCCATATGTAATCAATTCTAGATTTTTTATCTGATCTATTCCATGTATTCAGTGGTTTATCATGGTAAATTAAATTAATATCAATCATAACGTTCTTTTTTAATATCTGAAAAATATGATCTTTCCAGAAAATTTTTCGATTTGCTCTTTGTTGAGCTATCGCTGTATCATAACTTGCATTAAAATCTCCAATACAGACTATTTTAGCTTTTAATTTTTTCTCAGCTGTTAAAATTTCTTCTAATTTCGTATAAAATTCCAAAATTTCATCTTTATAACTATTATTCGAAAAGTTATAAATTGCAATTATTGTGAAACGAATCTTTCCTTTCAAAAGTAACGTAAGTTTTAAAGCTCAACCTTCAATGATATCTTTTTTAATAACATATTTTGCATAATCATTATTCATTATAATCTCAACTCCAGTCAAAAAATGGTTGTCATCGTCGCATGACGATCAAGTCGTTATATCCTTATAATCTTTATAAATCATTTTCGCACTAGCAGTTTGAAGTTTTGTTTCTGTGACTATTAAACAACTAATCTTATTAATTTTCATATAATTTAAAACTTGTTCTTGCTTAAGTATTGTATTTAATCCTGACACATTAATTGTTGTTATCTTAAATGTATTATTAATGTCCATAATACCATCAATAGATGGTCGAATATCTATAAGTTGTACTATCATTGTTGATTATATTGGGGGTTGGTTATTCTGTTATTGAATTCCATAGCCCTGTCTTCATTGACATATGGTGTTTGGTTGTTCATTAAGTGGTCAAATTTTCCAGACATATCTTGTAATATACTAAACGCCTGACCCATTCTGACTTCAAAATTGTCTAATTGTTATGTATTTCCTTCTTGACTATTTGGGGACGAAGGTGATGTACCCAACGCGGTTGATGGTTCATATATGAACTTTTCTGTCTCAACTGTTTTATTTACTTCACTATCTTCTTCCATAGGAGATAATGTACGAGTTTGTACATTTGGCGCAACATTTTTATCGATATACACATTACATGTTTGTTGAAATTCTTTTACCCTTTTATTATTATTATTCATGAACGTATTATCATCATTAGCAAACAATAATTCTACTTTTCTATTACTCAAAATCTCAGCTTGATTAATATGATTAATTTCTAAATTTGAAACTCTCTCATTCAATCTTTGTATCATATTCATGAATTTTTCCATTTGTCGTTCCAATCTATCCAGCCTATCACCCTCATTATTAACTGGTGTAGGATTAATATTCTGTTGATTCCAAGGTTTTCTTACTGGCTCTTGTGTCTCTTGTTATTTTCCTTTCCCTTTGTAAGATTGAAATGGCCTTGACTTGATGTTAAAACATTCGCTCTTACATTGGGTACTGTCTTAATTTTCTTTACAGCTTCAGCATAACTTGAAGGACCTTATGATGGCATTTCTTGTTCAACTTCTTCATCCCAATTGTGCATACCTTCTGACTTATCAGGTTGATATTGTGAGTTTCTAGGGAATAATGGTTTGAACCCCATATTTGGTCTGGATGCTTTTACTCCATATCTACTATAAATCTGTTGATATACTTCATGTGTTGATGACATGTTTCTTTTCCTCTAATTTTCCGGACATGTTCTGACTCAATGATAAGGAGAACCACATACGTGGCATGTGACTGCATCATAATTAACGAAAACTAAGCCTCGATTGTTGAAAGAGAATTTCTTACCTAGAGCATTATTAAGGTCGTTCTCATTATCAAAAAGACAAATGCGAACCTTTCTTTCTCATAATTTTTTGAAAACCTATTTTTAGGTACGAAACATGATTTTGCCTTCATTTGTATGATAATATCTTTCAAATCAGCAGCGTATGTACCTACAGGTAAATTAGCTAATTTCAACTCATATTTAAAACGTAAATTCCTTTCATCCTTCGTTAAGTTAGATGGAAAAATTCTAAACGCATATTTGCAAAATCTCAAATCTCAATAACTATAAGCAGTGTTGTCATAGGGACAGGACATGTCCATGGACGGGACGGGATGGGACAGTCCAGGACACGTCCAAAGATTTTAGCAATGTCTGGGACATTTGGACATTAAAATCACGTTATCTTAATTATAAATTATAGCCCATTAGTTGCTGTCTCTAACAGTCTAACGTAGGGCTAAATGCCTCTATACATGCTCAAACTAACGCAAGTCACCCTAGTCAGAATACAACTTTTAAAGAAGCGAAAAAAGATGATGGTTGGACTATTATTAAGAAGACTCAACATTTTAGTATTTTCATCTGCGAGATAGTCTTTCAGGCGATAATATTATTGCTAAAAAAAATTTTGCATATAGGAAAATTTCGGATGTGCTTGGGCTAATTTCATTGACACCAACTTCCATTAAAGGTATTAAGGTGATTCGAGCAACATATGAAATAAAAGCACAAGCAGCTGAAGTTTGTGCCAAGAAAATTGCAGATGATAATGATGTAAGATTTGCTAAATTAGAAGTAATCAACAATCAGCAAAATGATAATCTTAATGATTATGAAATTAAAATCTGGGATGTTCCACTAGATGTGAACAAGTAGATGTTAAAAGTATATTTGAAAAGTTTTGAACCAATTAAAACCCTCAAATTTAATGTTAAAAATTTATACTATGAAGTAGTAGTTAGATTCAACGGTAAACAAGTTGAAGAAAAATTTAAAGACTTATGGCAGTGTTGTACATGGGACATGTCCCGCCAAAATTTTAATGTCCCAGACATTATCCCATCCATGTCCCGTCTACGTCCCGTCCAAAAATTGTCCAAGTTTACAATTTGTCTTATCATATTACTATTCGTCTGTATGGGTTGCTGAGCTATCAAAGAGCTCGTCAAAGCAGCCAAAGTGCTACTTTCTGAAGGTTGGGTAAATTCTACTCCTTCCATATTACTCTTTCCAAATTCTATAACGAAAAAACAATATTTTCTATGACTTAAACGGTAATAAACGAAAAATATTTCTTCAAACTACTAGTGTGAAATTTGTGACTGAACAATCAGCGGGAAGAGTTTTTTGTGAAAAATGTAAATATATATTATATTATATATATATATTAAAAAAATTTATCCTGCTACGCAAATATATATCTGACTATTAATAATTTAATACTCAACTATGCATAATTATATCTGACTATTTAAAAATTATGTTATCAAATAAGCAATAATAAATCTCACATAGGAAAAATTTTTATATGTTGGTTAAGCAAACTCAAAACCTACCTTTATATATATTGTTTGGGGTCCTGTATAAAGTTATATTAAAGTTTTGAGTTTGGATCTGAGTTGTATATGTATTCTTCAGGATTCTATACACTAGAGGTACTATTTGAGTTCTAAAAGACCATCTGGATTGAATTTGGATGCTCATTAGCACATCCAGATTCAATCCAGATTGTCAAACTAATCTTAATTTTGGCCAAAATTGTAATTTTGGGCGGAATTAAAGTTTCAATAACAAGAGTTAGCTCTGCCTAAACTTTTAGTACTGGCCTAAGCTAAAGTTACTTGCCGAAACTAAAGAGTTTCGACATGTCAAAATTGTCGAAACTATTTCGACATTTTGACAATGGCCTTCCGATTTGTTGAAATGCCGTAATAGTTTCAACATGTCGAAACTATTTTGGCGTTTTAACATAGTATATCATATGATATACATATAGTTTGGCATTACTCTATTCGGTTAGGATTGGTCAATCTGATAATCAATATGTAAAAAAAAAAATTTTTTTTTTATTTTTGTTATTTTTGTAAAGACACCAAACTGGATAAACTTGGACATGAATAAATTTGGATATGGATAACATGGACATTAAGGTAAGCAGGTATTCTTTTTTAAATTTATTATAACTTTTAAGAAACATTTTCTAACGAAAAATGAAATATTATAGGGATACCAGCTTTCTTGGAATTGATGAAACTGGAATTTACATATAAACGGACAGGTAAAAGGAAAGTTTTTTAAAAAAAATTTAATGTTTTAAGAAACATTTTTAACGTTTCTTTTTTTCTTTTTTTTCGTTTGTAAGGATACTGGCTTCTTGGTATTGGACTTAAGACGAAATGGCACCTGAAAAAGAAAGGTTAAGTCTTTTTTTGTTGCTTCTTTCATTTCTATACTAACTCGTTGCTAATGTCTTTCTTTCTTTTTTTAGATCTTTGTCTTTGGTATTTTAGGAATAAAGATCTGGTGAAAGGTGAGTGAAATGGAGGATTTTTTAATTATTTTTGGTTATAGAACATTTACTAATGTTCTATATATTTTTTTGTAGTAATAACTTCTTGAAGACGAAATCGGCACTTGAACGTGAAATGTAAATGTGAGTTTTACTTTTCTTTAGTTACAGAACATTTGCTAACATTCTTTCCTTATTTTTTTTATAGTGACGATTTCTTGGAGATAAAATTAACACTTGTGTCACAATGTGTCCTTCACTTGACTAAGGGGTTTTTATAAAAAAAAAGGTCATAATCTTATTTTATATATCACGAGAGTGATATTTTAACTTATAAGTATAAAGATAATGAGGGTTGTCTATCATGAGATGTTCTGTGTAATTTTAACGATAAATTTGTGTAATTTTAATTTATTTTAATTATCTCGATTAAGAAAATTCTGCAATGTTAATTAGATTAAAAAATCGTCATCATTCCAAAAAATCCTCACAATGTGTCATTTTTTGATAAAAAAAAATTTTTTTATTCTCTATAAAAATGACTACTAATAAATGCAAAGAAGGTCGTCCGCAGAATGAAGTATGGGAGCATTATACGCAAGGCGAGCGTAATTCAGAAGGGCATGCAAGTGGGACTTGTAAATTTTGTAAAAAAATTTTTAGTAGAGGTGATGTGTCTACATTACAGAGACATATTGCAAACCATTATCCAAACGCCCTACCTCACTTAATTCAAAATTATCAAAAAGTATTTGAAGAGAAAGCGAACAACAATAATAAAAAAAGAAAATTTTCTAATCAAACATCTTTATATGATTATCACGATGCTGATGAACCACTTTCTCAAAGAAGAATTGATAGAATCAACAGAACTTTGTTAAAATTCTTTGTATGTTGTGGAATATCTTTTCGTGTAGTAGAATCACCATTTTTTACAGATTTTATCAATGAACTTAACGTTGCATATGACCCTCCATTTCAGGAACTATTGGCCAATTGCTTATTTAAAGATGAATTAGGGAATGTTAATTCTAAAATTCATAAAGAATTGCAAATGTCAGACAATTTAACACTAGGTATGTTACTTAAAAAAAATTTTTGATAAAAATCTATTAATATATTTAATTTATATTTAATTTTTAATATTAGCTTTAGACGGGTGGTCATCTTCTAACCATAGATCTATATAACAGGGCGGACATCTCTATTTTATCACGATTTTGCCGATTATTTTGCCGATTATTTGTTGATTATTTATTCAATCTTATCACATAAGAAAAATACTATTATTAGTTATTTTTTTGCAAAATTTACATAATAATCTATACTAAAATCTTAATAATAGCTTAACTTTACTTTGGAATTATAGTATATTAATTTTCACCTAAATCAGAATATTATTAAGCAACTTTACTAATGGCAACTTTTTATAATTTAATAAAAAATAAGTATTTTTATTAAAATTAAAATAAAATAAAGGATTTTTATCTATTATTTACATATTATTATAGTTTTGCCATATATTGTATTGAATTTCATATTGATTATTTATATTATATTCTTTTTGTTCTAAAAGACTATCAATATTTTCATCATCATAATCTTCATCTAAACCCTTTTCTTCTAAAAATTCAGGTATTTCATTATCTTTTAATGGTTTAGATAATCTTTTATTCAAAGTAGTAATATTTGTTTTAATACTTTCTGATAAATAATTAAAACAATATTTGCATTTTTCATTAAGTAGATTTAGACATTCTTTATGATAACTATGGCCACATATTAAAATAATGTTTGATGATGAATTTGATAATAAACAATTTTCTGCATCACAAAATTTATCAATATCAGGTAAATTTGAAGTACTCCAAGCTAAAGGAAGAAGCATAACATCTATATTTCTATTATTAAAACTTGGAAGTTCAAATATATTATTGTTACTATTATTTGATTTTCCAATATTATGATAAATTTTGTCAAAAAGAGATAATAAGAATAATGAAACCTTTTTCTCTAAAGATATTAATTTAACCTTTGAAATATTAACATTTCTTGTATTAACAAAAGTGGTTTTAAATCTATTATCATTTCTTTCAATATCAATGGTTTTTGCTTTTTGTATAATTTGTTTATCAGTATTTGATTCAGCTGTTTGATATCTAAGAGAACTATGAAAATTTTCAACAAAATAATCATTAAAAATTGGTAAATTATCTTTTAAAATATCTAGTATTGGATGATTATTTAATGTCCAATAAAACACATCACTTAAAAATATAAGTGGTGCTTTATTATAATTATATCTATGTAATCTTTGAAATAAAATCCAAATTTTTACAATACTTTCTAAATATCCTTCAAAAAATCCACATCTGAAAAGTTTAATATATATGTCTAAAGTAAGTGGTAAAGAATTGTCTAATAAATCTATCATCATTAAATATTCAATATCTTTTATATTTTTAAAACGGTTAACAATTAAATTACGAATATTTTTCCATCCATAATAAGTTAAATTTAATATAAGATTAATAAGTCTTGGCTTTGGTTTTTGTGCTAAAATCTTGTTAACTCCAAAGAGATCATGATATATCATTTCAAAAAAAAAATGATATTTTTGAAATAATGTTTCTCTACTATTTAAAGAAATATGTAGTGGTCCAATCATGCATAGGAATTATACTTAGTATTTGAGATGAAATTCCAGAATTTTCTTTTTTATTAAGTTTTAATGTAATAGCTCTTCTTAGATTGACTTGACCAGGCCAATCACAAATTGTAGGTATTACAAAGTTATTAAAATAATCTTTTTGTTCTATTTTTTCAAATACCTTAAATAAAATATTTGCAGATTCAATATAATCTTTTGTATTGTGCAAAGGATGTAAAATAAAATCTACCAACTTACTATTTTTCATTGATCTTAATTCCTGTTGATTTTGAACACGTCCATCATAATTATGAACAGTAAGAAATTCCAATTTATTTTCATAAGAATCATCAGATAAATGCTGCTTCCACATTTCATTTTGTTGATAATAACTTTTTCCTAATTTACTCATAAAGTTAACATTAATATAATCTATAATTAATTTAAAATCAACACCTTTAGGATTATAAATTGGAATATTGTTTAATGAGTAATAAGGTATTTTAGGAGTATTAGGATTTGAGTTTAATAAAATTGTTACAAAATGATTAATGTCATGTGTTTTTAATAGAGTTGGTTGATTTCTTCTATGAATATTATGATAATCATCAATATTAAGTATAAACATATTTTCAATGTTTTGTAAACAATAGTCATTTACAGTATACTCAGTGTTGTACATGGGACATGTCCCGCCAAAATTTTAATGTCCCGGACATTGTCCCGTCCATGTCCCGTCCATGTCCCGTCCAAAAATTGTCCAAGTTTACAATTTGTCTTATCAAGACAGCACCTAATGGGCTATAATTTATAATTAAGATCACGTGATTTTAATGTCCCAATGTCCCGGACATTGCTAAAATCCTTGGACGTGTCCTGGACCTGTCTCTTATACACATCTNCCTGGACTGTCCCATCCCGTCCCGTCCATGGACATGTCCCGTCCCTATGACAACACTGAGTATACTGATGATCTTCTGAAATAAGAGTTTTTTGTCAATTTACTGTTCTTCTGGATACTGATAATCCTATATTTGCAAGTGTATCAATAGAAGAAGCTGATGCTCCAGAAGTTTCTAAATATAATCCAATATCTGCTTTAATTCCATTTATATATTTGTTATTAATACTAGCTAAAAAATAACATAAAGAAACTAGCTTTTTTTTATTATTATTATTTGTTTTTTCAGATTTTGTATTAGGATTAGTTCCTTTATACAATTCATCAAAAAAACCAATTAAATCTGCATCTGCTTCTTCTAACATAATTTCAAATTCATCAGGATCATAAATTGTTTTTTGTTTTAATACTCTTTGATTTTTGTAAAGAATGCTAGACATTTTTTTGATTTTATTACTTAAACTTATTTCATTTGAAATAGTTAATTGTGTTATGATTTCTTGATAATCTGATTCAAACTGTTTTAATTCTTCTTCACTGTATAAAACATCTTTTCTAAATGAATAAGTATGATTTCCTATATTTAATATATTATCATCATTTTCTTTTTTAGAAATTGGTGCATTATATTCTTCTAACTTATTATAATCAGGATCCTTATCTGTCCTTTTTCTGCATAAGCTACAAATTTTAGCAGTTTCATCTAAATTTAAAATTGAAATTAATCTCTTTGGAACCTTTTCAAGATTAAGGTTTTTTGATTTTTTATTTGTATTTTTTGATTGGCTTTTATATTCATCATGCTTTGGATGAGAACAAGTTTCATTAAGTTTAAGGTTATGTACTTCATTAGTAATAAATTTATTAAAGTGAGTTTGACATAGTTTCATTCCAACTAAAATAATTTCTTTATTTGTTATTGGAATTTTTATATTATTAGTAATTTGCCTAATCACTCCTTTGCAATCAGTTGAATTAAAGGTGCAAGTAGATTCTGTTGACATTTTATTGAATAATTTTTTTAAAACTTTAATATTTATATTAAAAAAAATGTTGTTTTTTATTAAATTATAAAAAAATAGTACTGTTTTATATTTAAATTAAATAATAATATTTTGTATTAAAAATGGTGCTATTTTTATAAAAAAAATTTTGTGAATTTTAAAACTATTTATAAAAAAATGAACAATATATTAAAACTTTAATTATTTTATTTGAATTTTCTATTTAATGTTAATAAATTAATTCTTAAAACAGATCATAAAGTTAGGCTAAAAATTAGCCTTATTAACCTTAATAATTGCAAGTATTCTTTTAATGATAACTTTTTGTTTATTAAAAATTATCCATGTTTATTTTAACCATAGATTTTTGAATACTTAAATAATATATTATAAAAGTTTCAAGTTTCGCCTGAACATCTGTGGCTTCACCCGAAGCTTCAAAGTCAAATTAGCAGATGATCAGCATATGATTTGTAAATACTAATTATTGAATATTTCGGCCCAAATCTAACTTTGGCACTACATTTTTTTTTGCCACAATAATTTTATAGTATATTTTTGATAACCTAAATTACCAAACAAAATGATTATAAAATTTTTTTGAGAAATATAGTTTTACTTGAAGCCCTCAAAAAAACGTGATAATCAATATATATGATCGGCAAATGATCGGCAAGGTGATAATTAGCATATCCGCCCTGTTGATCTATATGGAATTTTACTATACTAACTCCAAATAGAAAAGAATATATATTTCAACTTTCTGATCCATCTAGTGATTCACACACTGGGGAATATATTGCAGAAAAGATTAAAGATGTTATCAATCGAGTTGGAGTATCAAAATTTTCAGCTATTGTTAGTGACAACGGATCTAATATTTGAAAAGCACATGAATTAATTGAAAAAAAATTTCCAAATATAATGAATGTTCAATGCATTTTACACTATATAAACTTAATGTCATGTGACATAGTTCAACATTCATTTGCTGATAAGCTTCTAAAAAAAGTGAATATTTTAGCAACATTCTTTAGAAATAATGCTAGAGTAGGTAAAAATATTTTAAACTCAAATGTAATAATTTATTTTAATAATTGCTAAATTGAATTTTTTTTTTTTACAAAAAAAAATTACTGTAGGTGCTAAGTTCCAAAAACTTTTAAACACAATGAATATTAAAGGTGGTGTGATCGTGCTTTACTGCAAAACAAGGTGGATGACTACTTATAAAAGCATTGACAATATTTTGAGAGTGAAAGCTGTTCTAGAAAATGTAAGTAAAACTAATTTTATTATTTATACTATTATTATATGAATAATAAATTTTTCTATAGATGGCAGCCAACCATTCAGATTTATTAACAAATGATAAAATTAAACCTATCATTTGTTTGTGGAATTTTTTTAATGAGTTGAAGGTTCTTGGATTTATTCTAAATCCATTGTGTAAAGCTGTATTAGCGTTAGAAAGGAGAGAAGTGGATTTAAGCGATTGTTACTTAGAATTAGCTCAAATTTCTCTTGCAATAAAAAAATTACCACGTCAAGTTTATTCAGAATTTCGTAATTATTGTATTGAAAAAATTAATGCACGTTTCAATGAATTTGATGATAATGATTACTTGCTGGCATTTTTTTTAACCCTCTTTTCTGAGGTATTGATTTATTTATTTTATTTATTATTATTTTGACTCACTATAATAATTAAATAATACTAAAATTAAATATATTTAATTAGCTGAACTCCTAAAACATGGAATTTAGATGCGAATAGTTAAATATGCTGAAGTAACAGCACAAAAATTAGGGATGGATTTGACTAAGGCTCATACTCTTTGCTCTCATTTATTGAAATATAAAAATAAAGAAAGTCCTTTTAATTAACCATATACAGAGGGAATAGATAACCCAATTAAGTGGTGGTCAAGTATAGAATTAGAACCACCTTATTTACAACAACTTGCAATTCACTTATTTTCGATCTGCCCTAATAGTGCCAGCTGTGAGCGTGGATTTTCAATTTGTGGTTGGCTCTCAAATAAAAGGCGTCTCAAACTTGGTGTAGAGCGATTAGAATCAATGTTAAAATTAATAACATATTATAGGTCAAATGTATCTCACGAACTAGCTTTTTATGGAAAAAGTATTAAAAAAAATTCTCAGAAATTTAGTGATAGCGAATTAAATAATATTATAAATAAAATCTTAGCAGAACAGCGTTTGAAGATAATGATGATGATGATGAAACCACACTGAAAGAGGATCAAGATGTATAAAGAACAACCGATGGACACATAATTCCAAATCATAAAGTAATGGTATGGATCGAAAATACATTAGATCTGTCTAACCCAAAAATTTTAAATGGATTAGAAAATTTTGGAGAGTTTCCAGAAGAAGAGGAAAATGAAATGAATGGTAATGTGAATGGAAATAATCAAGATGATAATGAAGTAATGGGGAGGGATATATTAAATTATAATGTTGATGATTTGGTGAAAGAGTTTGAGAATTAACAATAATTATATTATTAATAGTAATAATAGTTAGTGCTCTACACGAGCCAAACTGGCTCATGAGCTGGCTCAAGCTTTTCAAGCTGAGCCAAGCCAAGCCATGATTAAATTGGCTTGGTGGCTCACGAGCCAGCTTGGAAGAGCTCGAGCCAGTTATTAGGCTCAGCTCAAAAAGCTCGAGCCTGTAACAGACTTAGCTCAAAAAGCTCGAGCTGGCTCATGAGCCAAATGAGCTATTATACAAAAAATGTTGCAAAACGTTTTTATATAATAATGCATGCATAAACGAAATGTTTTTGCAACTTTTTTTCATTGTTTATTAAAGAACGTTGTGAAAACATTTATTTAAGTTTTTACATGTAAAATTGAAAAAAAAAACGCTGGAACTAATGATTCCAGCATTTTTACATGTAAAATTGAAAAAAAATGCCGGAACTAATGATTCCGGCATTTTTACATGTAAAATTGAAAAAAAAAATGCCAGAACTAATGATTCTGGTGTTTTTACATGTAAAATTGAAAAAAAAATGCTGGAACTAATGATTCCAGCGTTTTTACATGCAAAATTGAAAAAAAATGCCGGAATTAATGATTCCGGCGTTTTTACATGTAAAATTGAAAAAAAACGCCGAAACTAATAGTTTCGGCGTTTTTACATGTAAAATCAAAATGAAAAATGCCGGAACTAATGATTCCGGCGTTTTTACATGTAAAATTGAAAAAAAAATGCCGAAACTATCAGTTTCAGCGTTTTTACATGTAAAATCAAAAAGAAAAACACCAGAACTAATGATTTCGGTATTTTTACATGTAAAATTAAAAAAAAATGCCAAAACTAATAGTTTCAGCGTTTTTACATGTAAAATCAAAAAGAAAAATGCCGGAACTAATTATTCTGTCATTTTTACATGTACAATCGAAAAAAAATGCCGAAACTATCCGTTTCAGCGTTTTACATGTAAAATCAAAAGAAAAATGCCAAAACTATCAGTTTCGGCGTTTTTACATGTAAAACCAAAAAGAAATACGCCAGAACCAATTATTCTGGTGCTTTTACATGTAAAATCAAAAAAAAAATGCCGAAACTATCAGTTTTGGCGTTTTACATGTAAAATCAAAAGAAAAATGCCGAAACTATCAGTTTTGGCGTTTTTACATGTAAAACCAAAAGGAAATACGCCGGAACCAATTATTCCGGTGCTTTTACATGTAAAATCAAAAAAAGAATGCCGAAACTATCAGTTTCAGCGTTTTTACATGTAAAATCAAAAGGAAAAATGCTGAAACAAATAGTTTTGGCGTTTTATATAAATATAAAAGTAAAAAATGTTTTGCAACGTTTTTTTTAATAATTTAAAGTAAAAACGGTGCAAAAACGTTTTTATGATAAAGCTTGAGCCAGCTCGAGCCCAGCTTGGCTCAAGCCAGGATTTTTATGGCTCAGCTTGGCTCGAACTGAACTAAGCCAAGATTTTTTGTGGCTCGGCTCATTTCAGGCTTGGCTTGGCACAGATCTTCAAGCCGAGCCAAGCCAGACTGTAGCTCGGCTCGAGCCGACTCATGTAGAGCACTAATAATAGTAATAATAGTAATAATAATTGTGAAATTGTTAAACATCAAAATTAATTTTGTACAAAATATAAATCAACAATAAATCGCCACTTACAGTAGTAAAGATGCAATCTATAATAAATAGATTCATTGCTATTTACTGATAAAATTCTAATTATCGATATCTTTCAGTTTTTTTTGAAAAAAAAAAAACATTTTTTTTTATTAAAAATAAATTCTTTTTCAGTTTTTTTAAACTGAATTTTTTTTATTTATTTCTTTGATTCTTAAAAAAATGTACTACGAAGTAAAAAGATTTACCGATCAATTGATAAAATTGATAATCGATATTTTTTAAAATTTTTTTTTAAAGACGGTTTTTAAAACCATTATTTTATTATTTTTATTTCATTAATAAAATGGTTAAATTATTTTATTTTTTTAAAAAAGAAGACCAGTTCTTTGAACCATTACTTTTTATTTTTAAAATAGTTTTTAAACCATTAGTTTTTTATTTTTAAAAATTTTTTTGTTTAAAGAAAACAGTTTTTAAACCGAATATTCTTTGTTAAATAAAGCTTCCAGACTTAGATTTTGAACTGAAATACTGAAAATGTAAGTTGAGAGGGATAATGTGTTTTATTTTATTTTTGGAATATTACTAACATTAGGACCCCGAATAATACTGATATAACTCACAAACGGGTTTGCGTAGAGTTTATATGAAATTACTTTTTAAACCCATAAATTGAGTTTGCGTAGATCGGTCAATTTTGGGATAACTCACATATCACGTTTGCGTAGAGTTTATAAATATATTGCATTATATGTTAATCAATTGTATAATATTGATAAAAATTAAGTTGCGCAAAACCATTAAGGATGGGTCCGTAATATATTTATGAAATTTGCAATATTACGGATTTTGGTAATTAATTGTATATAGTAAAAAAAAGTAATGCATTTCGCATTATTTTAATATTTTTTAATAAAAAAAAAAGTGCGAAATGCACTACTTTAACAAAAAATGGTGAATTTCGCACCATTTTATTAACATTTTAATAGAAAAAAG